AAACACGACAGACAAGAGCGTGAAGTGGAGAGGGCGGCTGCACGGGCAGAGCAAAAGGCAGATCGTGATCACCAAATCAGGATGACGCAACTCCGGGTAGACCTGGCGAAGGCGAAGGGCAACAATAACTGGCTAGCTGGTTGGGGTTGCTGCTGCTGCAGTTGCTAGGGCATGCGTTCCATGTGTTTTTATTTTTTTCAACAGCAAGCTTTTCGAAAGAATATCGTGGCATCCGTTGCGCCTTGCGCGTTTTTTTCGGGGGAGGCTTGCCTGTTCTGGGGAGTGTTTTATCAGGAGGAACAATTGAAAAATGAAACTGGCATTCAACAAGTGGCGTCTGTCTTTTGCGCAGTGCTTCCCCCGCACGATACATTCCGTACTTCCCCTATGCATCCGCTCGCGTTTGCCCACATAATAAATGACCAGCAAGGAGGAGACGACTTCTTCGCACCAAACAATTTAACTCCCAGGAAGTTAACCGTTAAAACCCTCCAAACTAACTGTCCCCAATAACCGCGGCATCCGATTGTTACGCAATGCTTATACACCCGTACGATATACACACATCGTCCGTGCTTGCCCTCTGCATCGCCCGCGTTTGCCCACCTAAACGACCNAGTAGCGTCTGCTTTTTGCGCAGTGCTCCACCCGCACGATACATTCCGTACTTCCCCTATGCATCCGCTCGCGTTTGCCCACATAATAAATGGCCAGCAAGGAGGAGACGACTTCTTCGCACCAAACACTTTAACTCCCAAGAAGTTAACCGTTCAAACCGTCCTAACTAACTGTCCCCAAAAAACGCGGCATCCGATTGTTACGCAATGCTTTTACATCCGTACGATATACATACACCGTCCGTGCCTGCCCTCTGCATCGCCCGCGTTAGCCCACCTAAACGACCAAGGAGAAAAAATAATCTTGGCGCTGATCATTCGAAACTCACATAAAATTGGAAAGTCTATCGTGCGCGACTTGCTCACGCCAGCAAACGGCTATTTGTCCTGGTTTACGCCTGGAACACCGAAGATGCCTAAAATTCTCACACAACGTGGGTGCATCTTGCACTGACACCGCTACGTACTCCTCGAAAGTGGGTGGCACCACGCCAAAGCATTGCGAAATCTCGTTGCCCCCGTTCATGCATGAGTGCCAGTTAGAAAGCAGAGTGGCTACCCGGTACTGCTTGGCGACAGGGTTAAACAAGAATTTCTGCTGCGGCTTCATGTTCACAAAGGCCCACTTGCCGGTAATCTCTTTGAATCCCCACTCCACCGTTACGCGGCAGTGGCTCATACGCTTGTTGAAGTCGGCCATCTCTGGCGTTAGAGGGCCGACACTTGACGCGCTAAAAGGACAGACAAGGTGGTTGCTCAGCCCATACGCCGGATCTCCGTACAAACAGTACGGATGGCCTGTAGGGCTGTTTAGCATCGACAACTTCTCCATCAACCCAGACTGCGCTAGAATAAAGCTGTCATGACGTGTCCCCGCCACGGGGCCCCACAGATCCACAAATAGCCCGTCTGGTGTAATTACCCCTTGGAACTTCATGGCGTGCTTCCTCTTGTGCCCATTGTAGAACAGGCGCTGCCAGTACTTGGGCCTGCGAATCAGTTTTGGGCGGACGGAAGGATGGGCCACCAACAACACAGGTCAAGACATACACCCAACAGTGCTGCTGTATTTCATCGTTCGGCTAAACTTCATCGCATGTTGCAACCTCGTGGTAAATCGAAATCAATCATGTGCACGCGCAACCACACGACAGTTCCAGACAGATGAACATATGGTCTAGTAAGTGCGTCGCAAAACTCGAGGAACGTACAAGATGGCCTGCTGCTGATGCTGCGTTGGATACGCGGCGGGAAAAGCAATCCGCGGGGGGAACCACGCAACTACTGTCTGCGGTATGTACCAAAACACCAGAATCCGTTGAGTCGGACTTCATTTTGCAATGCCACGCACGGTGCCATCGATAAATCCCCAACAGTGAGTGAGAGGACAGCCGGAGTTGAAGATTGGTTCCGCAAACTCGATCAGGTGCGGCTGCAGGCGTGCCACGTCGAGGGACAGCAGATACACCCACCTGAAGTCTAGGAAATGCAACATCCAATTGAAGACTTCGCAGATACACGATTCGCTCATCCCCAAAACCAAGCGCATGTCCTTCAGGCGGCATGAAAAAGCGAGCCGATACAGGAGCACGCACAGAGCCCCACTTCCGCTTACCACGAACCCACAGTCAGTTCGGATGAACGCGGGGATCAACAGCAGATCCAGCATCAGCATAACCTGCATCACGTGACACCACACAGGAAAGCAAAGAACGATGTGTTACTTGTTATTCCAGTGCACACCTCTCCGTTGGCTTGTGGGTCAAACATAGCACGGTGGCTTGACGCACCCAGAGCGGCTAACCCCTCGCGACCCACGGGATGCTGACATACTGCTGCTGCTGTCGAACGACATACTGACACACACACTGCTGCTGCTGATAGCCGGAGTACACATGTCCAAGCCACTGCAACGATATAATATTCAGCTGCGACATGCACTCACTTGCGATTGCGTGAAACGTAGAAAGTTGACGCAGTCCTGTGGGCTGAAGAATGCTGTCACGTCCCTACGTGCGATACTCGTGGGCGTGTCGTCGAGTTCCAGACGGGCCATCGCGTAGATGAAAGCGATGTTGTACACGAACCATATATCGGTGTAGACTTCGAATAGATTACGGCATCGAAGCATGACCGAAGCACGTTTGTGCGCTCGATTCGTTCGCGAATACGTAGACGGGACATGGTAGCCTCGCCCACACACTCAACAGTGGGAGCGCTGCAGAGCACTCTGTCAAGAGACAGCTGTTCCCGCAGCAGGGCAGCAAGCAGCCACGGAAGGAGGGGTACTGTCAGGCCACTGTCCACCCCGGCCAATCGCTTTCGCCCCAGCCTGCAGACCTTAAATCGGAAAATATTCGCCTGCAGAAAGTTTCCAGGAACCTTTCTTAACTCAAAATCTGTTCCCGTATTTCAGTAAATTTGGAGCCCCAATCCGAAACTGTGTAATTTCGACAAAACAAAATGACAAAACAATTCGCATTTTTTTTGTGGACGCTAATTGTGACCGGTCGGTTTTGAGCAACCTGATCCCCCCCCCTCTCTTACGCGACGGGGGCGGGCGGGTGGGAAAGTCGATCAATCCTATATCCACTCCTTCACTCTCTTCTACTCTGTTGTCCCTCTCTTTGTACCATAGACTCCCCGCTGTCAAGCGGTGCGTGACGAGGATGAACTGCAGGCGGGCCTGATCCGTGGGTCCTCGGGGGGGGACTACGGAGCAGAACTCACTACACCTCCCTCCGGTCTGTGTTTTTCGAATTCCGATCCGCGACACAAACAACGCTTTCCTTCTGAACGCTACATTTTGTTTTTGCTCAAGTATTCCGGCATTGTTTTTCTTCTACTCGGGCACCTATTCTGAATGACAAAGTCGGGACAACGTGTGGAACACCGACAGACGAAAGTAAAACCATATCCTCAACCCTCGTGGTTATACCCTTCAATGTCTCCGCTCCATTCCCCCAAATTAATTACTCAGCCAACCCGTATAGCCTCACCACTGTGGGGCTACCTGACCCTCACCCCACATTACAGGCTGAGATATCGTACCCTCGACGTGTTCCTACTTCTTTGTAGGGCGGCAGACATTTTTTTGGCACCTTCCCTTGCCTCCCTCACATTAACCAGAAAGGCCCGCGACTTCCAAAGGCCTGCGCATTGAATTTACATCTCTGACATTCCTCGCGCCGCTTGCTGCGTGACTCCCCCGATCCGCCCCGAATGCAAGGCGTACTGGGCTGGATTCGTTCCGGCGCTGGCTACCATTATTCGCAAGGCGCCAACGGCTTCCGTTCTGGTAATCACTTTCCATCCGGTTGCCGTGAGTCTCGACATCAACGGAGACCCTCCAGGTAATTGAGGGTTTTCATCGAGGAGCTCCACCAGCGCCTCGAACGCCCCTACCGGCGCCCCACCGGTCCCCTCCCCTTCTCGCGCGCGCGTGTGTGTGATCGTGCACCCTTCCCGCAACTGATCCGTTTTCGATGCGACGAAGCGAATCTTGACGGTGCCGGCGCGTGCTCTATCCTCGATCTTGACCTAAGTGTCTCCGAGAAAGAAAGTCACGCAGTCGCGCGTCAAAAAAAAGTCCGGGTGCACGAACCCGTTCGCATACTCGCATAGTTCTGAGGCTGTACATAGGAGAACGTACGACAGTGCCAATCCCAGCCACACGACTTTTCCTCCCTCCTTGAAACTCGTAACCGCGAGATAGCCGTGGGCTATGATGGCCCACGCGAGAGGCAACGTTACTTGGGATTTCCTTCCAGACCCCCCACGGATCCTGTCGATCCCTTTCCCAGCCGCTACGATCATGCAGTGGGACGGAGGGAGCTCCCACCCTAGATAATGCTTGTGGAACAGCTTGATGGCTGAAAGCTACCCTCTAACAGTGGATTGCTGGTTGTTGAACACGAACAGTCGGCAGGCCATGACTTCGAGCAACAGATTTAGCACCTCTGACTCCTCCATCAAATGCAACCATGGCCCTCTCCCTTTCCTTGTAGTGAATTCCAACCACTGCTTCCACTTCCCGACATACACCTTATGCGTGCTGCCTCCGACAGACGCGCGCACAAGAGACTCCACCAAACTTGCTACTTTCGAGCTCATCCCCCGTTCTCTTTCCCTGTTCCTGGAGTTATTTCCGAACGGCGAGAGGGAAGGCGTTAACGGACAGCACACTTTTCGGTAGGCGCTTCTTACTCATGCGGCTGTCCATAGCTCCCACAACACGCTGTCGTGACGAGGAGCGATGTTTTGTCTGCAGCACGATCTCGCAAAGGCGACCACCTGCTGCTCCTATTGATTTTTTACGCCAGTCGTCAGTGTTCGTCAACTGCCGCATCCTGTAAGCCACTTCGGACTGTGGCCATCGTGAAATTCCATCCGCTAACGTGTTTTGTACGCCCGGAATGTGTTTGGCGTCGTATCTCCAGTCCCCTCTGATTTTCAAGGTGGCCAAGCATTCTCATCATTAGGCATGCGCGTTTATCTCTTGCTCCGCCGCATCGGTTTGAGCATGTGACGGCTGCGAAGTTGTCTCCGCGCATTCGAATTGGGTCGCCCCTATTTTTCGGGCGGTCCCCTACTAGCTCATGCATGACCCACGCGGTTACAACCATCCCAACCAGTTCGAGCAGGTTGATCGTGAGGCCAGACGTCTCACGACATGCGGCCTTTCGTTTTGGTTCGGCCAAGAAAGGCAGGGGCAAATCGTATCCAGCACACTCTCAGCTCTCGGCAGTATCCACCGATCGCATTGAAACTAGCATCTGATAAGTAGTTTCTCTTTGCTATACGGCTGATTGTGGCGAAGCATGGTGCGCTTATGCATTCCCCGGCTGTCAAAAGTTCTTGGTCTATTGCTCATCTCCAAAATTCTAGGTCGTCGTGGAACTCTCTTCCTAACGTGACCGAGTGGCTCTGGGTTCTTACGCGACCAGTGCAGATCTGCGAGTCGTAGCAGCTTCCACACAAAGTACTTTCCGGCGCGAATCACGTACGTCAGATTCCAGAACTTTCCTGCAAGCGAGTACACCTCCTGCGCTGTCGCTTGGCGTCTGCCGCGCGGCCAAATTGTTCGCCAGGATCATTTTCATCTTTGCGCTCGAAGCAGGGCGTGGTCGTCCGCATTCACGACTATCTGAAACGGGCTTGACAAGGTCCCCGCCTTACTTACACGGACCTTGACGTCGGGTGGCACGGTCGTACGGTCGCCAGTCTCCCGAAGGTCCACTATTTTGATATGTTTCGTGGTCTCTACACCTTCTGGCAACAGTTGCACGGTATCTAAGCTGTGTTACGGTAGGCGTGCTCTGCCGCGGACGCCATAACTCCGAAGTGACCTGGCGACCCTGTCCATCCGAACGTCAATCGGAAGTCAATGATCACGAGATCCCCGATTGTGTAACAGACGTTGTATGCTTGGTCCGGGTCTACTCTAACGTTGCGGTAAGCGTTGCCAACGTCGGTGGTTGCCATCAGCAGTCGTAACTCCTGGATGCTTCGCACTCACGTTGCCTAGTTCCGTGAGGAAGGTCGGCAGCACTTCGGCCCACAGGCTCGGGGGCACGCTTCCTATGTCCGTGTCCGCGTTGACACCTCCCTCTTTTTCTCGGTTGAATAGATCGAACGACAGGTCGTGAATGACCCCACCCTTGTGTGCTACGACTGCCCCCAGGGGCATAACTTTCAAGTTTGGCACCTCGTGCGCTGCTGACTTTTTTTCACGAGGCTTCTTTCTCTGCGCACATCTTCCCCGATCTTTTTCCAGATTAGCGGGTGGTGTTCTTCTGCACTACGATGGTTGCCGTACTGCAGGGCACTTTCGAGGTTTTCATGAGATGGGGGGGCGATCACCGGCACTCCCGTTGAAACGATTGTCATTAGTTGGGTTTTTTGTGGGAATCATTTTAAGTCCCCGAAATAACGTCTGATGGTGTTGGGGTTTACTGGAGGTATGACCAAAATCCCGCAGAGGGCTCGGGCTACGTCTCCTACCCTTGCCCCGTTTTCGCGAATCATGGTCGTGCACGTCGCAGCTAAGCTTGGAGGATGCGTTCTCTCTCTGGCTGTTCAAGATCCGTGTTTCTGAGGCATTCTTTTTCTCATGCCAAAAGGCAATGTTTGATTTGTTTCGGCCGTGCAATCCGTTACCGCGCGACCCGCCACATAGAAGCCATGGTGCTGACCCGCTGCTTTTGCGCGGCCCGAATTCACGACAAGTGTTTGGGTTGTGGCCGACGTTCTGCTGCAACGATCACTCGCTCTACATGCACTGAACGTCTGTTTGTGTCTGGGTTATCAACGAGCTACATGCCTGCGTGAGATGCGTTGTAACTGCCCTACGGACATTCGGCTGCGGCGATCTCTCACCCTGCATGCCCTGAACGTCTGTATATCCCCGGGCTTCCGACCGACCAGCAGCATGCATGTGTTGAGTTGGAGCTACCCTGCTGCCGTTCTGCTGCGGCGATCTCTCGCCCTGCATGCACTTAACGTCTGTTTTTGTCTGAATTTTCAACGAGCTACATGGCTGCCTGAGTCGCGTTGGAACTGCCCTACTGACATTCGGCTGCGGCGATCGCTCACCCTGCATGTCCTGAGCGCCTGCATATCCCTAGGCTTACGACCGACTATTATAGCAGCGTGCATGTGTTGAGTTGGATCTACCCTACTGCCGTTCTGCTGCGGCGATCGCTCGCCCTGCATGCACCGAACGTCTGTTTTTGTCTGGGTTGTCAACGAGCTACATGCCTGCGTAAGATGCGTTGGAAAATACCCTACTGACATTCGGCTGCGGCGATCTCTCACCCTGCATGCCCTGAACGTGTGTGTATCCCTGGGCTTCCGACCGACCAGCAGCGTGCATGTGTTGAGTTGGAGCTACCCTACTGCCGTTCTACTGCGGCGATCTCTCGCCCTGCATGCACTGAACGTCTGGTTGTTGCTGGGTTGTCAACAACATACAAGCGTGCGTGAGATTCGTTGGAACTGCCCTCCTGACATTTGGCTGCGGCGATCTCTCACCCTGCATGTCCTGAGCGTCTGTATTTCCCTGGGCTTCCCACCGACTAGCAGTGTGCATGTGTTGAGTTGGAGCTACCTTACTGCCGTTCAGCGGCTGCG